GGCCTGAAGAGCTCACCAGGAAGAGTCCCCGGCAGCTGCGTGGAGGATTGGAGGTAAAAGGCTACTGGTGACCAGGCAGAAACTTGTCGCAGCATCTGGTGGCTCTTCCAGGCCAGCGCACACAGAGACAGTTGCAACTTGGGACTGCAGCTGGAAATGCTGAAAGGTCATTTTGCCTGTCAAGCAAAGACAATAGACCAAAAGAAGGCCCAGGATGAATGGACGATTGATTGTAGTCAGCAACTGCTTAGACCGTGTAAATTTTAATGTCAAAAGTGCTTATCCCGTATGAATTTTCTTTGTCCAAGAACAAAAGGAGCCATTGGATCCTGAGGGCCATGGGGATCTAGAATGGCTTTTTTTCTAGAAAACTGCTCCCCATCTGCCTCCACGGGTTGATCAGCAGTTAGGATAAAACTGTGAGGATGTCTAAGCATTGGAAGCCAATTAATATCCAGGTAATGCAGTCATAAAGGTCCCTGAAACACACCCAGACGCTCACCTGGTCACTCATTCTCAGGTCTAAGATGGGAGTGTCATCACCGCAGAAAATGTCACAGGAAATACAGAGGGCTCCTCCAAGATCTATTTGTCCCACAAAATGCACTACGCTGTATTTTATAGATGTATATATTTGTGGGAAGTACACCCTAGTAAGAGAATTAGCTTCTACCCCCCTCATGTCTGCTACAGATTTGTAATGCCTTGGACAAGGCATTAAATGCCCCCAATCCAGGCATCATTTCCTCAAATGTGAAAAGATGAAACCAGTCTTTCCCAAATCTGGCTGCACATCAAAATTAATAAACTAGTTAAGAATACTGATTCCTGGGCATTACTTCAGATCAAGTGAATCAGAATACCTGGGGAGTAGGACTCTGGAGTCTGTTTGTAACCAAGTATCTGTGAAGGCATCTGTCACCTGCGTATCTTCAAGTTCTACCATTTTCAAAATTCAATGAATGAGACCTGAACTATCCCCAACCCCATGGCCTATATTTTGGTTTGTATTTGGGGGCCTTGTTAAAGGATGCTTACATTACACTATGATGTTCTTTTTTGGGGGGTTGGAGTCTCAGCCTGTCGCCCAGGCTACAGTGCAGTGGCACAATCACAGCCACCACAGCCTTGACCTGCTGGGCTCAGGTGTTCCTTCCACCTAAGGCTTCCAAGTAATTGGAACTACAGGTGCACACCACCATGCACAGCTAACTTTTTTTATTTACTGTCTCACCAAGTTGCCTCTGCCTCTGCTGGGATTACAGGCATGAGCCACGGAGCCTGACAGGTGCTCTCTATCTTATTTGGTCTGTGCTCTTCTCTCTGCCCAATGCCAGTTCAAACTGGAACCAACTTTGGTTCACTTTTTTAAGATGAAAAATGTCTTTAGCTATGGCGCTAAGAGAGAAACATTAACTAAGAGCCCAGGAATTCTACACCTTCCCTTTTTTTTTTGAGTTGGAGTCTCACTCTGTCGCCCAGACTGGAGTGCAGTGGCTGCTCCCGGCCACGGCAGCCTCGACCTGCTGGGCTCCTGCAATCCTTCTGCCTCAGCCTTCTGAGTAGCCAGAATTACAGCACGCGCTACCACGCCCGGCTGCATTTTTTTTCTTGATTTTATTGTAGAAATGAGGTCTCGCCAAGTTGCCCAGGCAGGTGTCGAACCCGCAGGCTCAGGCAATCCACTCACCTCAGCCTCCCAAAGCGCAGGATTACAGGCTGAGCCACCGAGCCCAGTCCACCTTCCCATTCTTAAAGGTCTCCCTGACCGGACTACCCACTGGAAATGCCCCTTCTCCTCAGATCCCAAATTTTTGCCATCTTTTTACTCCGTTCCTGAGTAGTCTATGCTTAATTCCCCTCAAGTTCTGTTGATTTCTCTAGCAAAGCAGTTTGCTCCCCACGGCATATACCAACTACGTGACATCCAGGCCAACCTTTGCCTACCTCAAAATGTGTTAAGGACTATGTTAGACAAAAGATCTTTCAGGAACAAAAAGCAATCACAGAAGGTCCAAAATACCTTCTCTTTAACATCATCAAAAGATTTAGCTCCCTAGTTTATTATCCCCTTAACCACAGGGAGGAAGGTTATGGTAACACCACCACTGTCTCATATTGAAATTAATTTTGCTGCTCCCCTTGGAAGATGAAGTAACTGGAGTTAGCATTTTGTGTACAACAACAAATCAATCTCCTCATTCCTTGGGTGTTTAACAAGCTCCCCAATTGGCAGGGCCAGCCAGTCTGCATTTGAAAACCACTGGACCAGAATTACTTTCAGTTTTAAAATTCTGTTCCTCTGACAATAAACATGCTTCTGCACCCGGGAATGAGATGGACTTTGGAGTCACCCAAACCAGGATTCAAAATTCAGCTCCTCCACTAAACTGCCTGGTGACCCTGGCAAATTACTAGCTACTTTTGGTCTCTGAGCTATGGTGTTTACAGCAGGTGTAGAAATGCATATGAAAGTAACTGTCAATAATTGTTTCCTTCATCTTAGCATATGGTAGGTAGCTTGAGGCAAAGTTAGGGAGTTAGAAAAAGCTCACGTAGGCTGCACCTTCTCTAAACAAATATATTTCCCCACAGGCTGCATGCAGTCATTTACTAAGCTTGGAAACGGCACTAAAAATGCCTCCCGAGGGGAATTAGCCATCCTACTACCTCTGTGGGCAACCATGAAAGTGGAGCCCATTCCTTGGAATGGCTACTGCACTGACTGATGCTGACATATTGCAAGGTCAACACCCAACTTCAGGACAAGGGCAAGCTTCACTTCACTTGGACGTGAGGCTGGAGAGCAGTGATGTTGCTGTCCTGGAGAATCCTCAGGCATCATAAAATGAGGTCACTCTAAACTTGCAAGAAAGCAAGGATCAAGTAACCAATCTCTTTATAACTTCTGAATGCTGGAATCTCCAAGGCACTCCTATTGCACACACTCGTCTTTCTGGGCACACTGAGCTCTCCGAAAGTAGACAGTGGGACTCCAGCATTTTACCTACAGTGCCTCCCAGAGTGCCAGGCCCACACCAGATGTGACACATTTGATAAATAAGTGCATTAATGAATAGATGGATGGACCAGTGGGTTTCAGACTATGTCAACTGGCTGCTTGAGCAATTATTTCACATAATGTGCTTTCCAAATTCCCTGAAAACACAAGCCTTTATTTCAAAAACTAATTCTGGAAAGCAGAAAAGATGTTTCCCAGGGCAAAAGCGACTCAATCAAAACTGTCAAATGCAACAATGCATTAAACTAATCCATTCAGTCCCTCATTCATTCAACAAACACTTACTGAATCTTCATTACGAGCCAGGCACTATGCCAAGTGCTAGAGACAAGAAGAGAAAAAAAGATGCGGTCCCTGAAGAAGCCAGGCATCAATCATTTTGTTAAAGCTTCCTATGCGGTTCCAATGTGCAGCAGAGTTGAGGAGGACTGTCTTGAAAGACCATCCACTCAGTGCCCAGAGCCTGCAGAGTAACAGAGGGCACATGCCACACCAGCCTGGGGGACCACCTGCTAACTACTCTGCTCTTCCAACTTTCTCCTCCTGCCTTTTCCTCTCCTAGTCAGTCAAAAATTCCAGACTGAATTATATATTACTTTTTGCAACCACTAAACAATATTCTTGTTCCATACACTTAACCTTAAAAAGTGGGAAGTAAACTAAAGCAGAACATTTTAGATTGGGCTTTTTCAAAACAAGAAAATAGATTTCAACTGAAAAGCTCATCAATTCATGATCTCTTTATTAAGTGCATACTATATTTAGAACAACTTGGAAATCTAAGGTAACAAAAATAGTTTCAGTCTTTTGTTTAAACTTTGGTCTTAAATTGAAATTTTTTTCTATGGGTAAGGTTTTCAGGAGAAAAAGGATACTTATCACTCTTCTATATGTTGTTCCTTTTTTTTTTTTTAAATTAAATAAAGCCTCATCTTTGTACCCCGGGGCCTGGTGCCAAGTCTGGCATATGGCATCCATAAATCCAATTCCCAGAGGTTTGGCTTCTACACATTCCCTAATGAGTAACCAATTTTGGGCAGTCACTAGTGAAACAAATGGACCCAGTTTGACCAGGACTGGGAGGTTGGGAGTGTACCTGGAAAGCGAGGACAGCTGGTCACTTTAACAGTCACCTCTCCTCTTACTACCAAAGTTCTCTCAGACATGAAGATACTTAAATACAGTGAAAGAAGGTCATAAATCACACTGCAGGTTCAAACATACTACACGCCATTGGTGACATTTACAATTTTTGCTAGTGTGCAAGATGTTCATGTTTTGTTTTGTTTTGCTTTAGTTTCGGATCTCAAATTATCTCTGCTAGAGACAGACTCTGATAGATTTTAGGCATCTACGTTCCCCCTCGCTACTCACTAAGATTCCTCCTGGGATAGCAAAGTTTGCCCTAAGATTTCATGGTTAACATGAAGTGAGCCTCAAACAGTGGCTCATATGTACTATTTCTTAACTTCCATTTTTCCATGAAAGGACTAGAGTTCAAGTTCTAGTATTCTCTCCCAACACTAGGACTGTATAAAAGCTTTGGGGGAACAAGCACCTCACTTTACTATTCCATTGTCCTCAAAGAAGCACCAATGGGACACCTCATGATAGGATTCACAGATGATGGCTTTCATGGGACCGCCTCGAACTCAAATCTCAGCTCTACCACTGACTCTGTGACCTTAGGGAAGTTAGCAAATGTCTCTGATTCTCAGTTCCCTCATCTGTGAAAACGGGGATAAATCCTACCTGCAACGTTGAGAAAGAAATTTTACTAAAACACAAGGCATCCAAGTGTCTGACATATATAGAAAAACTGAGCAATAGGGCGCAAATTTTAGGCAAGAAAAGCCTTAAGTTGGTGCACGTTTGTTAAAACACACACACACACACACACACACACACACACACACACACACTTCTGAACATCAAGCCTACTGACACAGACAAAAAGCAATTCTTCCATTTAGAAACATTTCCTTTATACAGAAACATACTATTTATTCAGTAGGAAACTAATTTTTTACCATTTGATTTGAATAAATTCTCTTCTCTCAAGTCATTTGATTGAGGGCACACACTGCAGCATATATTTTATTATTATCATTATTATTATTTCCTGCAACACTTAACGTGTTTCCTATTCCCACATAGAATATTACCCAGTAGGAGTCCACAAAAGGAGCCATAGCACATTCATAGCAAAGATAGAAAACTTTCTTTCTTTTTTTTTTAGAAAACGCTCTCTCAATTTCTGCTTTCTAACATGATAATTCAACTAAAACAAAGCTGAATTTCATCAGCTATTAAACTGGAAAAATGAAAATCAGCCCGTGTATATTATGGCCATGATCATTAACACCTCCATGAAATAATGGGAGAAAAGAGAGAAACAACTGCTTCTTCTCACCAAAATTTGATACAACTATAAATTATGTCCTTTTTAAAAATTACTTCTTTAAAAGCCTTTCTCCCACTTCCAGTGGTCTGAACATTCAGGTGTCTTCTCAGGGTCATCTCTGGGCAAGCATATGGCATGTGTGAAATGGAAAACATTCGGAAAACAGCAGCCTCTCCTAGGCTCCTGATATACATGTGCAGGAGACTTTCTGATTTTCAATCTTGGCTCAGTTTAGAAGAAAAAAGGGAAGGGTTACATTCCTGGGGGGGGGGGATGCAGCCTATTTGAGGGCATGCCTGACTTTCAGTCCATTCAAGTGTTCACGGTTAGGCCTCCTGGCCCTTCCTCCAAGATTCTTCTCCTCCATGGTCTTCTGGGTATAGTTACCATATCTGCAAAACTAATAATGTCATGAGTCAAAAGGTTTGGAGTGTCCCAAGAAACAACCATATCTGGGTATGTTCTGACCTAAGAAGCCTATGCCAAATCTTCTCAGCAATCACCGTCTAACTTCTGGAGCCAGTGCCTGTGTTCCCAGCATCCTCTGTTCCCAGTATCCATATAGCTGTGGCTGGAAATCACATCAGAAAAGATAAAGAGCCAGCAGCCCAGAATGGTCTGTGCAGCTCTGGCACATTCTCCACACACCTCCACACCACCCAAATGTCCCAGAAAATATTAAAACAAATAAACTGGACATGGCTGATGTATCTGTAGAAAAGGATTTTATAAAAATACTCCCTGCACTTGAAAAGAGAGGGGAAAAAAAGAAAGATGCATGTAAACATCGCCTCTAAGTCCCTAGGGAACCCTTGAGCCTGGTCATCTCATCTTTCGCACGTTTTGCAGTTTTCCTTGTTCAGCTGGAGGTATCAATCTGTTTTCTTCTTATTAACAGAGTTCAGAGCATGAGGCTGCCTTTGAGTATGAGCTTGTGGTTTGCTTGGTAGAAACAGTATTATCAGGAAGCTTATGATGTGTAAATAAAAGTACATGGACCTAGAAACAGAAACACAAAAATTACATTTCAAACAAGGAGCAAATGGGAAATATCACCTAACTACACCACCTTCAGTACAGTGAGTGAATGCTTTGCTTTCGGCAGGAGGGGATGTGTCTGTACTCAGACTGGCCTCAGTCCACTCCTCAGATAACTCTCTGTGGATCAGGGATGGACTGAAAGCACAAAACTAGGCAGAGCAAACCAACTGGCCCATCGGTAGATGCACATGGTATTGTCTCATTGACATAATAAGCAGAGCAAAACCCCAACGGGAGCCAGAAACTCCCAACATTCAAAGTGTAAGGACTCACAAGACCAAAATCAAACCTAATGCAGTCATTCACCACGTAATGACATTTCAGTCAATAATGTATATACAACTGTGGTCCCAAGATTATAATGAAGCTGAAAAATACCTATCATCTAGTGATGTTGCAGCCATTGTAACGTCCTCACACAACGCGTTACTCACGTATTTGTGGTGATGCCGATGTAAACAAACCTACTATGCTGCCAGTTGTATAAAAGTGTAGCACAAATGACTATGTATAGTACATAACACTTGATAATGGTAATAAATGATATAACTCTGTTACTGGTTTATATATTTACTATACTTGACATTTTATCATTATTTTAGAGTGAATTCCTTCTACTCAATGAAAAAAGAAAAGTAATGTATAAAGCAGCCTCAGGGAGATCCTTCACAAGGTATTCCAGAAAAGGAGATGATAGCTCCATGCAGGTTATTGCTTCTGAAGACCGGTGGGACAAGATGTGAAGGTGGAAGACAGTGATATTGATGAACCTGACTCTGTGTAGGCCTGAACTAATGCGTGTGTAACTTTTAAAACAAACAAAAGTTTTAAAAGTAAAAAAAAATTAATAGAAAAAGCTTATAGAATAAGCATATAAAGGAACATTTTTATATAGCCATGCATTACAAACGAGTCAGTTTTTAAAAAGTTTACAAAGTAAAAACATTACAGTAAGCTAGGATTAATTAATTAATTAATGGATTAATTAATTTTTTTTTTTTTTAGTTGGAGTCTTACTCTGTC